ATACAATTATTTTATCTATAAATATACTAAAAGTATTATTGATATTAATTTATCAATAATATTAAAATACTAATAATATATATATTTTATTTATTTAGTAATAATAAATATATATCATTTATATATTAACAAAAATTATAATATACATTAACTTGAATAGATAAATAATTGTATAATTTTAAAATATTGTATATATATATATATATTAAAATTATTAAATTTTTAATAGAAAAGACTAAAATCGTACAATTATGATATTTGAGGGATTAAAATTATTCAATTAAAAATTAAAGGACTAAAATCATACAAATAAAATCCTTTAAGAACTAAAATTATCCAATTAAAACTTTGAGGATAAGTTAATTGCGCATAAATGATAATTCTTGTAAAAATATCCCTTCAAAAGCAGTATGTGTCCTAGAATGAAGGTCTCAGCACCAAATTAAGGATACCACTGTTGGGCCTTATGTTGCAGAAACATGTTCACATGTTTTAAGAGGGAATCGATAGGGATATCAGCCAGTTAAAACTTTTAAGCCCCGAGTTTGACGGATATTAATTGAAATGGAAATGTCCATTTCAGTCTTGACTATTGTGTAATGACCAAAAATAACTCATACATGTCCTCCACCAAAAGATTAACTCATGCATTTTAATTTAATGAAAAAGAAAACTTATGAAAAAGTGTCAAATTTATTTTAATTTATAAGAGAAACTCGTATCATTTTACTTTCTTATTTATTTCTCATATTTTCTTTTCAAATAAATACTTAAAAAAATTTATCCAATCGGGATCAACTTATTGAATAACGTTACAGCAATATTTTTTGGTTACAAAATAGATGTACAAAGACTTCAATTCGATCTTCGTTACTCCGCTGGTGTAAACTTTCCTACCTATTTAAAAAAAAAAAAAAAAAAAAAGTACTCCTGCATCGTCGTATATCCTAATGTGTCGTTTTTAGAATCCATGATTTAAAAATCACAAAGGTGGTGAACTATTTGGTTGAATCCTATAAATAACAGATTCAAATCCTATTGTGTGCAAGTAACATGACAGTGCTGCTTTATGAAAGAAAGAAAAATTAAAACTAACCTGAGCAAATCTAAATCTATAAATAAACTACTCTAGTAGATATATGTTTCTCTACATATATACCAATCATTTCATCAGCTTAGTTTTAATATGTTGTGCAATTCTTTATTCAAAATCACAACTATCACATGTCTCAATCATAGGTCGTTCATCTTGATCATAATGCCAAGTTTTACACCAGATAGATATGTCCTTTCTTTTCTAGTTTCTCTAAGCCTTCAAGAGGTGGAACTTATATACACCTGCTAATATTTCCATCTCCCCTTTCAATAGCATATAAAAGCAAGGGAGATTCAAATTTCAAGGTGAAACTTTTCATCAGCAGCCACCACTTGCAGGTTCAATTGAACTGAACAACCCATTGCCTCTTAGTTGCATGCAATGATCTTCAGCATCAGCTTGGGCACATATGATCACCACTGACAACCCATTGTAGTGTGCTTCTTGCATGATGTTAACTGCATTATCAAGGGTCATTCCAGGGATGACCTTCATCAGTACTTGGACCACGTATTCCCGTTTATTGAAGTTGTCGTTGTGCAATATTACACGATAAGGTGGTGCCGTTTTCCTTGATTTCCTGCACATCTTAGAAAAACCAGAATCAAATATTTTCTTTCTTTCATTTTATCTTGCAAAGATAGAAATAGTTACATATCCATGAGATATCCCAGAAAATAAGCAACTCAGCATCCAAGGTTCTGTCCATTTTTTCAAAATGACCACCAAATTATTTTGAAGAAAATGGGGAAAAGGAAAAAGAAACTAGTTTGATGTATATCTATTACCATCTTTGTTCTTCCACAAGACACTTTCACCTGTTTTAGGCTGGCATTTACTGAAAATGACAACATAACTTGAAAAAACTCTCCATTTTCCCATTGTTTATTGGCAAATATTTTCAAATATTGAATGTTTTATGTACTTATTAATACCATTATATAAAAATGATACATCTTTTGATAACTGTTTTTAGCTTCCACTTTTATATAGACATTTTTGCCCCTTAATTATTCTTGAACTCTCAAGGATAAAATGGGGAAAGAAAGAGGAACAGAAGCGCACAATAACAGTTTTGGTTTACACATTTTATTTGACCATTTTAGTTTTCAACAACAAAAACGTAAATGTAAATCACTCACCCCTCTTCACTGTCAAGTAGTCAGTAAACATAAACCACCCACCGTTCTGTTATTGTCTACTGCACTTTCATTGTCGCGTATAATTACTTCTATTATCTCTATTTTTTATTTATTTTTATTTTTTAAATAAATATTTAGAGGTACAAAGCGCCTCTTTCCCCCTAATACATTGTAATGATGATCCTCTCGAATCTTGATGTCACATTCAGAAAAACAAAGGTGCAAAATAAAATTTACCAGATCAGTAAATCATAATTTTAAGACCAATAGTCAAAATTCCTGCTTACTTCAAATCAAATTCAGACTCACGGCCAGGAGCGACTTTTTCGATAACTGGCTTTTCCAGCAGCCCACCTCCTTTACCAGGTCCTGTTGCCAATACAGCCATGGGTACACAAAGATTGGAGTATGGTCCTTTACAAAATGAATTTGTGTCCCCTGAAATGCAAATCTTCAGTATGTATGTATACCTGAAGCACTCAACCATATACTTAGGATACAATACAGCACGGTTTCATCATTGCTAAAAAATCCAATAACAAAATAAGTAGTGAAACAAATGAGATATTATACTAGTCAGAAAAAAAAATGCTCGCTGACTAATTGAACATTTATTAGGAATAAATTTCTAAAGGCATCACAAAATATGCATAAATAAGAAGAAAAAAAATATACACTAATTCCCACACACACAGACAGACACAGATAAAAAGTAAAGGCATGAAAACTACCAAAAAGGAATGAAAACAAAGGCTCTGAAAAAATGTGCAGCATATACACCCCTTAAACTTCAAAATAAGTAGTGAAACAAATGAGATGTTATACTAGTCAGAAAAAAAACTGCTCTCCCTGACTAATTGAACATTTATTAGGAATAAATTTATAAAGGCATCACAAATATGCTTAAATAAGAAAAAAAATATATACACTAATTCCCACGCACACAGACACACACAAAGATAAAAATTAAAGGCATGAAAACTACCAAAAAGGAATGAAAACAAAGGCTCTGAAAAAATGTGCAGCATATACACCCCTTAAACTTCAAGGAATAAGTACCCACCATGAACTTTTAAATCTTTCAACAATGCTCTTGAATTTTGCAAAAAGTAGGAATAAATCCTTTCATCTAGGTCTAAGAATTTATTTGTTATCTGCATATGAGCTGAAAGTACTGGATAGGCAAAGGGGAAAGGGAGCCATCCTGATGGACAATTGAACTTCCAATTTCATCATCAGTTCATCACAGCCAAATCTTAAAAGACTTGAGCACTTGCCAATTGGGCAAGAAGCTTTGGCAGATCTAACAATTTCTATTAATCAAAATGTTACTAATAACTTGTCATTAGATTGAAATTTTTAAAATGACTTCATATTTAATACTTCAAAAATGGAAGCATTTAAACACAATTGAAGTTTTATTTTGATGTGAATTATGGGATCAACATGAATGAAATGGGTTAGGCGAAGAGTATTAGCCATTTACGTGATTATTGCATGATAAATAAAATTTTGTTAAAATAACCAAAAAAAATGCTGTTGGTAATATGAAGTTCATGGAGACTATTACCAAATAGTTTAACCTTAAAGACAATGATTAAATAGTACAGACATGGCAGTGAGAGAATTGTAACCAAATCAACTACGATCAGTGAACTGCACGAATGGCTAATTTCACAGCATCAAATAATTTCACATAATTCAATCGCCAGAAAATCCACCATTTGATGAAAGTCTCTTTTTCTTTTGAACTTCAATACCCAAGACTCAAATTTAACTAATGTTGTTTACTATCTTCTAAAGTTGTAATATTATGTATTTTTTCTAAGTTCTGACTGACAATTATATAAGAGGACCAATTTCTAGCAATACTGGATGATAAAAACCTTGAGAGAATCACACCACAAAATCTAACTGTTGTATTTGGGGAGCCTAAGGCCTTAAAAACCCCACACTATAATCCCATATTTCCAACTTGGGATTCAAGTCCCATATCTTGTGTTGGGAATGCGATTGGATCCTAACACTGGATAACATTGCTACTAATCGCCATCACAGGGTGTCATTCAGTGTAAAGTGCAAACCCTTTCTATACAAAAGAAAAAAGCTTGCAAAAGAGAATAAATTAAACACCAAGATATGGCACAAGAATGTTATATCACAATAATTCACCATTGTAATTTGCAAATGTACGATTAAAAACATCACAATAGAAACATTACTAAACCCAGTCTCAATCATTATATAAACCATTAACATCACCATTTGGTTAGAAGGGTTCATCAAAGTGAAACCTACTCACAGCCTCAGGCACTTGCACTTATAACATCAGCTTGATGTTGATACATCAATTTACTTTTCATAGATATACCTAATACCCAATACTTAACAATATATAGGACCACAGGTTATCTGGGTCTACATTTTAGTTCCCACTGTACTAGAAGGGAAGCATTGCTAATTTTCTACAGCAGGTGCAACTGTTAAGACAGTCCTATGTGCCACGTTCAGTTAAACTTCTCGAAAGGTTTACTCGCTTTAACCAAAATTCTTAAGAAATAAAACAAAGCAAAATAAATAAATACATAAAACCGTATGCACAATCCAATTCTAGCGAGGAAAGAACTGAGGTATGAAATCTATAAACTATGCTAACCCAATTCCCAAAAACTGCAACTTTATGCCTGTATCAAAGAATTGCAGCTTGTGAACTACTTCTGACTGCTAAAACATCCACACTAGTCAACAAATTCAACAATAAAAAAAGGTTTTTAATTTTGTTTTGCAGAGTAAAATGAAAATCCCACAAAATAATAACCAAACCCCAATTCCCCTAAACACCAGAAACTCAAGAACACTTCTAAAGAATTTATTTCAATGAGAAAGAAAAACATTCACATAAGAAAATCAAAAACCACTGCGTTGACGTGCCAAAGAAATCGAAATCTGAGAGAAGAACCTGGTTTGAAGACGTGATTGGGAGAGAGAATTCTCCCACAAATCGCACTCTTCATTTTGCTCTTCTTTGTTTGTGTTCTTTGATATTTTTTTCTTTTCTTTTATGTTTTTGTTCTTGGTCTCAGTGTAAACGTGTGTAATAAATAAATGAAAAATGCAAGAAAAAATAATATGGAATAGGGGGAAATTAGGATTGAAAACTGGTGGACTGAGAAAATGACACGTGTACACTTAAAACACTAGCTGCCACTTTCCGAAAACTAAGAAGAAATTTGAACACTTCATCTTTATCTATATTTGTTTCTAAAAAACAAAAGTTTTATCAATTTTATTAGGTGAATTTCATGTCACGAACATATCAAGTGTCTGAACCAAAAGAAATATAACAAATTATATATATAAAGATATTACTAAGACTTTTTTCAAATATATTCTTTTTTTTTTATTATTTAAATAATTTGGATTTCTTTTTATTTACCTAAATAATCTGCATTTTCGATTCTCGTAAAAAATCGATTACTGGATAACCGACTTCTCAATAACATTTTGAAAAAAAAATTTCAAAAGCCCATTGAGAAATTGGTTACCCAATAATCGATTTCTCATGAGTCCAATTTTTTTTTTTGCATTTTTTGTTTTTTGATTTAAAATTTTTTTAATTTATTTTAATTTTCAAATTTTGGAAATGATTTTTTATAATTAAATTATATATTTTTTATTTTGAAATAATTAATATTATAATTATATATAAAAATTAAAAATTATGTATAATATTTTTAAATTATGTTAAAAATAA